TTCCGATGGTACACTGACTTCTAATAAGGCGAATGGCTTCTGTTTCTTGGGCTCTGGGAGTAGCATATGTAAGTTTAGTGAGTGGGTACGAAATTCCGCTAAAAAGGCAAATTGCTTTACGGCAGCAACAAATGCACATCTAACGCTAGCCACTGTAATTACGACAGCGAATTCCACTCACTTAACTGTACATACACAAAACTACATACAGTTGCTTTAAATTTTATGTTTTATGTTATTTGATATTTTAAATACGTAGACATCTCTCTAGTTTGGTAGCAGGGTTGCAAAAATGGCAAATCTCGTGTAAAATACAGATTAATTTGAACTTCTGAGGTTGAAGATATCAAGCGCTTCCTTTTACTGATCATTTTGTTAAAGGGGTCATATGATGTTGCTAAAAAGAACATTATTTTGTGTATTTGGTGTAATGAAATGTGTTTATGCGGTTTAAGGTTCAAAAAACACATTATTTTCCACATACTGTACATTATTGTTTCTCCTCTATGCCCCGCCTTTCTGAAACGCGTTGATTTTTACAATGCGCATCGGTCTGAAAAGCAAGGTGTGCTGTGATTGGCCAGCTATCCAGTGCGTTATGATTGGCCGAATACCTCAAGCGTGTGACGGAAATGTTACGCCCCTTACCATACTGTGATGATGCCCTGTCAGGCCGGAGCTATGATTCAAAAACATGAAAACCCATTATAAACGAGGCATTCGTTGCATCCAGTGGAGACATTATGGATTATAATGACTTAACTGTCTTTTTACGCGTTGCGTTGCATCGCGCCACGTAAACATAAAACCTTTTATGTACGTAACATTCTTATTTTATACCCTTTTTTGTAGAAAGTTCCTTCCTGAATACACAAATCTGAATGGTCATTATCTTAAATTGCTTAGTGCACAGGAGGATGACCTGTAATTCGTATAATGATAAGCTTTAGCCTTTGGTCTATTTGCGTTTGAGGTGAGAAGGTTGTGACTGTGTGGGCTGTGGCATTTTAACCTCCACTGAAAGGCCTCAGTGTCTTATGGAGTGAAGGGAAGTTCCCTTGAAACATGAGCTCTCTGCATCTCCTCTGTCTCCACATGAGGAGAAAAAAACATCTGATTAGTGTAGAAATTCACTTAATAATATATATTAGTTCTATCCCCTGCAGTGTTCCTTTATGGAACCCACTGAGCATTTGGGCCTCACGTTGAGCTAAAATAAAGTAATTTAATCGTTGTTAATATCCTCGGAAATTTGAGCCTCTGCTTTATTTCTGTATGAACTGTTTTTTAATACTTGTATTGCCACTTTAAAAGCTCATATTCATTTTGTGCACCTAAATTGGCTTTAAAGCTGAAGGTGAACTCGACTCTACTCTACTATCTTTCCAGTCATACTCTTAAAATAAGAAAATTTTCTAATCCTATCCATCATGTTTGAAACAGGCTGGACAGTGACAAATACAGTCTGCAACTGGCTGAACTTAAAGAAACAGGGGAGTGGAGTGACATAGATAGCGAGAGGAAAAAGAGAGAAACAGTACATTTCATTACATCTCTTCATCCATTTTTATTCTCTGAGCATCACTCCACAAAACCCACTCCAGCTAGGAACTTACTTCTTCATACAGGGGTCAATAGTTCCAATACAACCGGCTCGCTTCCAGCCTGCCGAGCTAGAGAAAAGCCGGGGAAATCACCTGACCGAGGGACTATTTACTACGCCCCAGCGAGCTGCGCATAGGTACGCAGAGGTGAATGATGTCTGATGGACTTAGTTGGGCAGCTTGACATCCTCCTTCATGGTACCCTGAATGGCCCCAGGGACCCCTGTCAGTTATGATGGAATCACTGCTGAGGTAGTTGTTTAGCTCCATGCTTCCCTTTTGTTTTAAAGCTCCCAGTGGGGGCCAAACTTGGCAAACGGTTGTTTGGTGATAGATGGAGGTTGTGTAGCACAAGGCTGGTCGACATGGTCCTGTTGCAAAAGTGGTGACCGGTTTGGGCAATGAGGCTTTTTGCTGCATGTCCAGACGAATACAGTATAACACATGATTTCTTAATGAAGTTGTAAATAAAACAAAGATTATTGGAGAACGTTTTACAAGAAAATGCTATTTTTCTACTTGCAAATTTTACATTTAGTTCAGTGTGTTGCTTATGGGAGCTTGTTTCCATCACAGAATAAAAACATTAAAAAAAGTAATTGCGACTTTTTATCTCACAATTCAGGTTGTTTTTCACAATTCTGAGTTTAACAAATCTCTGCCTTTGTTTCAGCTACGGAATAAAAACAAAAAACAAAGGTAATTGTGACTTCTATCTCACAATTCTAACTATTTCTCGCAATTGCAAATTTATATTTCGCAATTATTTTTTTCTCATGAAAAGGTCTGAATGCAATTACCTTTTTCTCAGAATTGTGAGGAAAAATGTCAGAATTGCAAGAAAAAAGTCTGAATTACGTATGTGAGAAAGTCGTAATTACCTTTTTTTCTCTGAATTCTGAGAAAAAAAGTCTGAATTGCAAGACAATTTTAATAATTGTAAGATATAAACTCAAGAAAAAAAAGAAAAAATTGCAATAACCTTCTCAGAATTCAATGAGATAAAAAGTTGTAATTACCTTTTTTCTCCAAATTCTAGAAAAAATCAGAATTGCAAGATATAAACTCAGAATTGTGATAAGAAAAGTCTGAATTGCAGGAAGAAAATTGTAAGAATTGTAAGATATAAACTCAGAATTGCATGAAAAAGTCTTAATTTTACTTTTTTTTTTTTTTTCTGTGGCAGAAACGGACATCCAGTTAATTGCCATTTCTTTGTGAAATTTACCAGCAATGTGTGAAAATAGTTTCTACACCAATATTTTTTTTCTTTCTGTGTAGTCAGTAATCTCTCTGTCCTGCCAAAACATGTTCAAAAACCTACATAAGAACCAGGTGAAGGGGTCTTAACTTTAGCAGACGGTTGTCTGGCAACTTAGTCATTAGACTGTCTTCAAAGCTTTCATCAGGAGTCTGGAATTATGTATTGCTAAACACAGTTGTCAAGCGATACAGGATGCTCTTTGATTTGTGAGTCCTCAGAAGCCTCTATATCCTTTTTATGGGCGTAAAAATAATAGCAGATCATCTCGCTTGCCTTAGGGCTGGCAAATATTTGATTGCTTTTTGGCAATGTTTTCTGGCTAATGAACACAGCAAATAAGATTGTCGCAGGATTAAAGTTTTAGTCCACATTTAAACTTGATAACGACTTTAATCTCCTTGTGTTCCAAGAACACTGTGCATTATCCAAATGTAAATGTTTTATTGCCACTCATTTTGAACTTCTCTGTGGTGTTTTAGCTGAGTCACAGACACAGTATGTCATTCATGGAATTTAATACTCTGCTTTCATGTAGGCAATTGCATATAATATTGGACCAGCCGTTCGGGGTTTTTTTTCCCTTGCCTGGCTGCATAGCAACTCTATTACAAGTAGAGCATTATATCCAAGTCATTATACTTTCTGATGCTGAAAAACAGGCCTCCTCCCAAAGCAGCATTGCACTGTAGCAAGTACAATTAAATCCTTTACTCTGTATAGCTGTAAATAACTCTGGATTTCCTTTTTCACTGTGTTGAAGTTTATTGGAATATTTAAATGTGGTATATTAATATAACATGCATTGTATACTGCAAGTGTGAAATGATGCATTCAGAGTGTTAAAATAAAGGTCTAATTTGTATTATTTTGCACTAATGCAAGATTTTTCCTGTTTTAAATTATTCAAAATATTGGAAATTTTTCATGTAAAATATGAGCTGTTCACAAGGACGATAACTGTAACAACAAAGTTTTATTATTCTATGATATTCTATATGAGATAATAAATATGATATGATATATGATATTCTATTCTATTCTATTCTAATTCTATGAAAATAGGGAAGTTCACACCACAGTTATAAAGATAAAAACACAGAGCAATGTTGTTGTAATCAAAACGATTTTTTTTCCAGCAGATAAACAATAAACACATTGACAGCCAATCAGAATCGACTCAACATTAAAATGCTCAAGCATTTAAAGCGGCAGTACTGCAGTTTGGGATTATAATAAATAGAACATTATTATCCGCTTGTGTGGATGCAAATATAGGCTAGGCCTAGATGTTATCTCTATAGAACGGGCCTTTAATGATATTTATACAATTGTTCAATGACGCAATGGAATAGCGTCTCTATTTTTTGTTGAGCACAAAATAATTTTGAATTTGAATTTTGATTTTGAAGAATGTTGTTAACCAAACAGCTGAGGTAGCCATTGAATGCCTACCGTCAACTGTTTGGTTATCAACATTCTTTAAATATCATCTTTTGTGTTCAACAGACGAAAGAAAACTCATACAGGTTTGTAACAACTTCAGAGTCAGTAAATAATGACAGAATTAAATTTTTTGGGCGTAGACCTACTGTCCCTTTAATTCTGAATGGTAAATTGTGTCTTTCAGCGGTCTATTTCCTAATAATGTCTTAATCGTTTCCCTTTTTTATTTCATATTGACATGTCTAATTATTTATTTTGTGAGTAGGCTACATGCAATAGCCTATATTGATACTGTATGCCGTCTTTATGAGAAATAAATAATAAATAAATAAAAACAAAAAATCGGTGATTACACTAGAAGCACTAATGTAAATTGTGACCTCTGGTGGTGTGCTACGCTACTGTAATAAGAACCAGTCCAAAACGATTGCTAAACTTTTCAGGGTGATAAAAAAACAATAAATACAAGTAGTTAAGGGCTCCCACTTCACGCATTGTAAATTCAAATGATGTTCTTCTGCTGTGTGTTGTACAAACTAGAGCGCCCTATCATCATCACTGAAGCTGTCCACGCGCGCAGTGCAGACAGGCTCGTTGGCTCAATGGGACGCTCTAGTCTTGTCGCGTCGCGTCGCTCACTGTAGACACGGGGGCGCTCGCTGGCAGCGCGTCTCATTCTGTCGCTCTCTGACTGGAGCCGGAGCGCTTCACACAAACTGCCCAGTGAGTTGGACTCTGCGGCACTGCTGCACGTCTTCGGCCGCTGCGCTCTCACTGTCGTCTGGGAAAGTAGTGGAAGTCGTTGGGTTTTATTTGCGTACGTTACAGGTTGAGTTCATATAGAAAGCTGCGCTCTTACGGACTATTCCCCCGTTGCGGACTGTAGAGATATTTGGATTACTACACGTCATATATTTCACAGAACTCACTGACTCTTTGCTTCTTCTCACCTACATGATCAGGAGGAATATTGTGGCACTTTATTTGGTAAGTGACTCGTTATGATTTTTTCCTTTACGGGACTATGTTTGGTAAATGCAAATAGCCTACGGTTTCTGTGTTTCTATTGTACAAATGCATTAAGAACAAGTGTACGTTTCCTAAGAATTATTTCTGCTCAACAAATCATATTTCGCATGCAGTTACTAAAACTGTTAAACATTCTGACTCTGTGTTTTATTTAGCCTGTTTATATTTTCTCTCTCATTTCACTTTTCTCATTAATGAGGAAAACATTGTCGAAATCATTTTAACCACAACGCATTTGTGCTTTCATGTCTGTTTTGTGGAACTTTTGCTGATGAAATCATATTTACCGCGTGGTGGTGCTGCCTCAGAGTAATTTACAGTCTGGAGGATATGCAGCTTTTGACAGCAATAAAACAGTTTCACGTCTTCATTCAGTATCTGTACGCTTTGATTGTTAGCAGAAGCTGTATATAACTAGTCTACATTGCTTAGTCTTTGATTTTGGCGGATTTTTCAGTTTGATTCTGTATTTTCTTTCTTAAATCCAAAACAACCATTCTAGTTTGAAAGAATGTATTAAAATACATTTAAACGGTGTATTGTGTCTTAATTATTTCTTTATGATTTGTAAATTATTAACTGATGTAGAATTTTATTTCGGGCATTTTATTTAGCCTGTGTAATTTATTATCTCCAACCGAGAGGAACTAACTTTTATACAACAAATTTATTGAACTATGAAACTAAATAAACTTATTTCACTTAATATGAAAATATGTAATTGACCAGCATGGTAGAACTCATCTAAAACGAGCTGTCAAGATGTAACTCATATTTGCTCTCATGTATGTTTTATAACAAAGCTGTTGCAATTTTTTAACATGCATCTTTATTTGTAATTCGATGTGCTTTAGTGCTTTAATCATACAGCACAATGATTTTTAAAGCTGATTTATATTCTTTATAGTTTAAGAGAAGTATTCTCATTTACTATTGGATTTTCTGTTTTCATTTGGATTGATTATACAGTATGTTTAAGCTTCATCACTATGATGATGATGTAAGACAAATGAAGACATTTTCAGAGTGACAAAGACTCTTGTGGGTTTTTATTAATGACTGGCAATTATTAATGACTGCTACGTTTGATTGTCTCCTATTATTTAAAGGACACTCAATCATGAAATGTATTTGTTCCACTTTACCTGATGTCCCACTCAATGTTAACAGCCACTTTCAACCATGGCTGATCAAGCTCATTAGTTCAGTGGTCATATATAAACCTTTCTGTATTTGATTTTCCTGCAGTGTGTCCAAACTGTGTCGTCACACTTGCTGTTATGATCAAACATATTAAGTTTAATCTAATGTGAGAATGTGTCAGGTCATTAGGCATAATAGCATCAACTTTGGACATTCAAACTTGGACGCTCAACCGTGCAGCAATTGTCAAATGCAATCTTTTTTTAATCCCTCACTGTATGAAATTTATCTGAAAATGGAAATGACCACTTCAAGTAATTTGGAGTGCAAATGCATTTGCTTAATTATTCCGAACACGTTTGGCATTTCCTGAAATCAGCGGGTCAAGTAACGTTCCTGTTCCATTGATCTCTCCAGACTGTACCCTTATGCATTTTACCCATGCTGAATATATGATGACATTCAAAACGTGGAAGATGTCCAAGTTCTCTTCAGTTTTTCTTTACTTGCTTAAAGGTAGTTGCACTTCAGCATAGGATACTTTTTTAAGCCTAAGCTCTATATAGTGCATGTGTATAGTGTATCACCACCAGCAGGCTTCTGGAAAAACGTGACCCCGGTCCAGATGGTTAAATTACTTTTAGATCATAGCAGTGCAATTCCTTTGAGTTCATTCGCCTGCAAAGGCACAGTCGTTAAGGTCCCATAGGACAAAGCGGCTCGGGAATGTAAAGCGAAAAAAAAGTGCTGAATTCTGAAAGAGTATGATGAGATACCTTTGGGCAATGAGAGTGGTTCGAATTACAGTGCGGATTCAACATTGAATCTTAGTGGACGTGTAAAAACAGTCCTAAACTGAAAAAAAAAAAACTCAGGGTCATTGATTTAACCTAAACTCTAACTCTTTAATACTGTTATTGTCCTAAAGCGATAATTTAGTCAACATGATATCATTAAGTTTATAGTTATCATCTATATGTCAGCCATTGTATCATACACTTCTACATTGAAAGTGCTTTTATTTTAGAACGCCCTGTGGATGCTTTAGTAATATGAAGACTGGCTTTTTTTCTTATTTGTAACCCAAGTTATTAGTCTGCCACTGGCCTACATTGGTTACGAAGGTGTCACCAGCTATTGTGAAGTTGTTAGTATGCTGTAACTAGCACCTGCACAGCTTGACAACTCAGAGAGCCTGTTGTTCCACTTCCCCTGTTCGTTTTACATAATCAGACAAAATACCAAAAGATCTTAAAGGGATAGTTCACCCAAAAATTTAAATTCTATCATTAATTACTCACCCTCATGTCGTTCCAAACCCCTAAGACCTTCGTTCATCTTTGGAACACAAATTAAGATGTTTTTGATGAAATCCAAGAGCTTTCTGACCCTCCATATAGACATCAATGCAACTACCACATTCAAGGCCCAGAAAGGTAGTAAAGACATCATTAAAATACTCCGTGTGACATCAGTGGTTCAACTGCAATGTTATGAAGCTATGAGAATATTTTTTGTGCGCAAATAAAACAAAAATCTCTCGTGAACACGCATTGAAGACTGACATGGATGAGAAGAAATTGTTGAATAAAGTCGTTATTTTTGTTTTCTTTGCGCACAAAAAATATTTCCGTAGCTTCGTAAAATTATGGTTGAACCACTGATGTGGTGTTTGTGTGTGTGTGTGTGTGTGTGTGTGTGTGTGTGTGTGAGAGAGTGTGTGTTTCCTTTTAATCTTACTTAACTCAAACTTTTGAATGGCAGTCTATCACAGTTTCACAGTGTGTGTTTGGACCCCATTGACTTTCATTATATGAAAAAAACTTTCAAAACTTTTCACATATAGGTTTTGAACAACGCAAGGGTGAACAAATGTTGACAGAATATACATTTTGCTGTGAACTACCCTTTTAAATGTGATAATTCCATTCATCATAGTCTCTCACACACTTAGCTGCCATGAAGTGAATTGTGCTTTTCCATTGTTTACCAGCGGTTTTGTCCCTTGTCTATATTTAGCTTCAGCTCGCCACATCTCCATTCAGGGGCGGTGCTCCTCTACTGATCACAGAACAGTCTTGGCAGTCTTAAGAGGAGAATGCAACAATGGCTGCCACTTTATTACCCTTGTAGAGTAAGTCAGGCTTGAGGAAACAGCTGGTCTGAGGAGCAGACAGGTCAGGGCTAATGATGCACTAACTTATTCAGTCGGTTAGACGTTGAAGGGTTGCTGTGGATACGTGCGACACAACCTTGATGGCAAATCAGACAACAATAGAGGAGCGAGTGTTACAAGAGGCGTAATTGTCACCCGTGAAAGTTTATTGACGTTGCCATAGCTTCCAAAGAAGATTAGATAACTATGTTGTACGACAACATGAGCTATTATGTCAGGACAGATCTGATGTGGTTGCAAGAGTTTGTAATTTTCACTGATTGTATTTTGACTGTTATTCATATTCTTGCTCTTGATGTTGATGATTATTGTAATTGCTATTTGTTAGTTTCCATAAACATTATTTGCTGTCTCTAGGCTGTAGAGAGAGTTCATTATTCATAATTCTTTCAATTCTTATTTAGAATTGAGCAATTAAGTACAAGATGTGAACAGCATGTGCATAGTATTTAAAATTAGCTGCATTTTTTAAGTTCACTTCAAGGTTGTTCATATTATTGTTCATGTCTAGAAGCCTACAAGTCTGAAATGAGAACTTTGTGCTGTATCAAGTTTTTTGTGAGCGTACAGTCCACAAAAGAGACTCTTTTATCATGCTGGAATAGTTCATTCGATCTGCAGTGTTGCCAGATTGGAGCAGGACTAGAGTAATAGGGACTGCTTTGAACTGTCTCTGTTCTGCAGGTGGAAGCCAATGCTTTCAGGATGTTTTTGGATGAAGAAAGTAGGTTTGAATGTGTTTTGAGTGAGAGAGAGAGAGCTCTTTAATGCTCTCCACTTCAATTGTAACAGATATGTCCACATGTCAGTGCAGATTAGCACCATCTCTCCACACTGGCTGATATGTTTACTTAGTCCTAAAACCACAAAACCTTATTACCCTTCTTTCGCTGTCATTTTCAACCACAATCCTTATATTTAGCCCTGGCTCACTGATTGTGAAACTTCACGTTGACAAATCCCCTTGGTCTCTGTATTTCCGCTCGGTGCTCGTATGAAAGACTTGTTTCTTTTTTGCACATTTAAATAAGGACAGCGCTTCAGAGGCACTAATAGAGGTCCAGTTTATAATCCCATCAGACCTTTGGTGTTATTTTTAGGGAAGGCTTGGAGAGCATCCTGTTTATGTTTGAAACACTGGACCTTAGGTTCTTAGAGAATAAAGGTTGAGAGCCAGATCAGGAGTTTTTCCCCCCCTTGCCTTACTGTAGTTTATTAATGCCATGCCATTCCACCGGCGGTTCTTCTTCGGACTGAATCATGAGTTGTCAGTCTTCTGAAAATTATTTTCCATGCTTTCTAGACCCAGTTTAACAGGCTCGTAATTTTTATGCGGGTGAATTAAGTTATAGTATGAGTGAAAGGGCTGTTTGAGTGATTCTGTGTATGTTTCTGAGAGAGTTTATGGCGACAGCAAAGATTCCTGAAGACCTTTAATCAAATCACTGACATGTTACTGAGGATGTTTGACATTTGTTTAAAAAATGTATGGATTTATTTTTGCGGTCGTTTTATGTGGAGCTATTGAAGTTGTATGGTCACTGTTAGGACCTTGTTCTTGATGTATGAATTTGTATATGTAGTCTATTAAGTTATGGCATAATAAATTTAATGGAGCAGAAATGAATAGCCAGTGAAC